TCGATTTAACAGGACATTGCAAGTTTGGAAAGAAGACTTCAAGAGGGGCATTCCGCAACAGGTAGCATTCATGACTTGGAACACACGAGCATTATTACATCACGATATGGGGTTGCGGACCAACACAATTAACAAGCTGAGAGAGTTTTGTAAGAATATGTCGGTTGTTGCGTTGCAGGAAGTTCATGGTGCAAAGGAGGAGCTCAAGTCACAAATGTGTCTGAGAATGGATATGGCTATATTTGCATCGATTCCTCAGCACGCGACAGGTGGCGTGGTATTCATACTTCCAGAAATGACTCAGAAACAGATGGAAGAGGGGTTGGAAAATGAAAGGATTAGATATGCGGACATCATTCCAGGTCGGGTGCAAATATTGGCTATCAAAGCAAGAGGGAATCTAGACAGGTCGGACACTATGCTGGTATGTTATAATATACACAATTATGGCCTTTCTGCACTCCAAGTCAATCAACTGACAAGCAGGATCAGGGCGGAAGTACAAATTGCGATGACTTGCCCAGACCATATGACGGTGGTGGTGTTGGGGGATTTCAATTACCACGAAGTGGCACCTACTCATCTACACGTCCCGCTGATCGACAAAGGTGTGGGCACTGACCCACGCAGCCGTGAGCACTGGGAGCTCCTCGCACACGGGTTAGAAGACATGGTTGAGCTTGACCCAGAGAGACCAACGCATTTTGTGAAGGACGGACAACAGTTGACGCATATTGATCGAGTGATGATCTCTACACCACAGTGGAAGCTACTGCATTGGAACATGACGGCTACTGTACCCGTGGAGCCTGAGAGATTGGATGATGAAGGTATTTCGGATCATGCACCGGTGCAGGTGGTGTTTTATCCCAGACGTCGTAGGCCTCCTGAAGACCAGGTTGTTCCTCGTTTTGTCTGCGAGACGGCGGAGCACGCGGAGATGCTGGACGAGCTGATCAGCCACTCGGACATTGATCGGCCGCCGCCGATGCCGCGATGGAGGGAGCTGAAAAGGTCGATGCGCGAGGCTGCGCGTGCTGCGAGGAATCGTCTCACTAGATTGGGCACTCCACCTCTGGAGGCTCGTCTGATGATTTTTAGATCGGTTGCCAGAGCGGTCCATTTTGATGATCTTGACCTGGCCAGGAAGTCCTATCGAAAGCTGCTCTTGCGAGGGACCTCATGAGGATTGAAGAGGGCCCTGTCAGCGTGGTTTCCCTGATAAGCCCAATCCGTTTTCGCAGGCAGCATGAGCAGTTGCAGCAAGAAGTGCTTGCCAGCCGTCTCGCCAGGGCCCAGGCAGAGGTCCAAGCAGAGTCGACGCCTTTTCTGGGGCGCAAGAGACTGCGTGCGTTTATGAGGGCTGAACGGCGACGGGGGAAACTCTGGGCTCCGAAAGGAAAGACTCTGCCCCATCCAGGGCCTTGTTGACCCTCTGGGCGAGACCCTCTCCTCTCCTCTCCTCTCCTCTCCTCTCCTCTCCTCTCCTCTCCTCTCCTCTCCTCTCCTCTCCTCTCCTCTCTTCATGAAAGAAGCGCTCAGAGAGCACTGGCCCCCCGTCTTCGCGCCAAAGTCAACCCCGTTTCAGCATTTAGATGCGTATATGTCTAAGCATGCAAAGCAGTTTGACTGGCCAGATCTGAAGCCGCCGTCAGAGGAGCAGCTACGCAATGCGCTCATCCTTGCCTCTCCTACGGCTCCTGGCCCTGATGGACCCCCGTGCTCGGCGTGGAAGGGCGCGAAGTTAGCTGTGCCTGTGCTCCACGGTCTTCTTCTTCTGGAACTCTTTTCGGGGCCCCCTCCCCCTCCTGAATTAAATGACTTGCTGCTGGTTTTCGCCCCCCCAAGGGCAGGAAGGTGGAAGATGCGAGCTTTGCGGTCCGCGAGCCTGCCACCACCCGACCCTTGGCCCTCAAAAACACTGACGTCAAGATTTGGCCAGCAGCATGCAACCAGTGTCTAAAGCCGATCCTGTCAAAGGAGTTGCACAGCGACCAGCGTGGATTCGTGGCAGGAAGGAACTTTCTTGACAACATAACCCTGCTAGAGTCCTCAGCTAGGATTGCCCGCGTGCTCCCCTCAGCGGCCACTGACCTCCCTCTTCTCCTCCTCCTTGACTTTGGCAATTCTTTCCCCTCTTTGATCCACGTGTTTCTTTGGAGGGTTCTAGAGCTGACAGATCTTCCTGCAGGCTTTCGCCTCTCCCTGCAGGCCACCTATGCCTTTGCGACGGCTCGTGTTGCACTTCAGGGATTGTTGCTCCCGTTCTGTGTAGTTGACTCGGGAGTTATGCAGGGTGACCCGTCCAGTGGCAGTTTGTGGGCGATGGCGATGGATCCTCTAATTCGGGACATGCGAAGCAGGCTTCGTAAGCATCCTGGGTCGGAGGTGGGGGTCTGTGCGGATGATGTGGGGGTGGCGGTGAGGGAGCTGGCGGCACTTTCACGACTGTCGGGCACATTTTATGTTGCGCGGCTGCGCGTCTGCTAGCTGGCCTGTGGCTTTGCATCCCGAAGTGTCAGATCACCCCTGTCTCTGCCCCTCTCTCTCCCCGGCTTGCTGAGAAGGTCCAGTGCAGATTGAGCCAGGTCGTCCCGAGGTGGGCAGCGATGCCAATTGTCTCAGCGGCGGAATATCTTGGGGTGTGGATCGGCCCAGCAGCACCGAGAGGTTTGATGTGGCGTCGTGCGTTTCGTGAGTGGGTTGTGGTCGTCAAAGAATTAGCTGCGACTAAGGCCGCCCCCCCTCGATTGCCGTCACTCTGTATAACTCGAGAGCTGTGTCGAAGTTCAGCTACCTTTCCCAGCTCTCTCGCATGCCACAGCCCGTCCTGAGATGGGAGTCGTGGGCTCTCCATAAGATCATCCACCTCCCTGCCTTCTCTTTTCCCCTGTCTCAACTGCTCGCCTTGAGACAATGGTCGAAGATTCGCCCGCAGTCAATGCTCGTTCAATCGCTAGCGGCTCTCCTGCGCACATCCAAGCAGACGACCACTAATTGGCGTTCGTTGTGGAAGGCCCAGCAGCAGGCGGCGAGAGAATTTCTGCCAATGAAGAAGTGGATCCAAGGCAAGTGGGAGCCAGACCACTGGATCGAGCCATCATATGCCCAGGAGCTTGCTGCCGCTGCCGATGGCTTTTCCTCCTCCCGCCGTATTGTCCGTCCTGTTGCTCTTGCCATGGATGCTCTCAGCGAGGCGTAGAGGCTCCAGGCTGTGGACGGGGGTCCTCCTGTCCCTGTTCAAAGGGCGATCTCGAGGCACCTGGGGGCTGAGCTTTTTTGAGGAAAATCTAGGAGACACCATATTCAAGCGCGTGGAGATGTGGACTGCCGCGCCTCTGTCTCCACAGGCCAAGGCTGCGTGCAGCTGGAAGATGCTCAACGAGTGTCTCAGTGCCCTGCCGCCCTCATGGCAGGCCTCGACAATGAAGACGGTGGTGGGGGCTTGGACGACGGAGCGGAGGGTTCGTCAGATCAACATTCCCTGTCAATTCGGTTGCCCTAATGAGTGCGACACGCAAAAGTATGTGTTGTCTTGTTGTCCGTTGCTGTGGGGTGCTGTGCAGACCGTTTGGGTTCCGTCGACTCCGACCGAGGTTTTTCTTGATCGTAGGTCGGGGATCGCCGAGGACATGACTGGAGAGCAACGATTGCTCGCTGTGCAACGCCTGATTTTGACTTTCTACTTATATAACTCGACTCGGAGTCAGGCCAATGCTGATCCAACGTTGATTGCGCAGCATGCCCGTGCTGCCAGAGCGCAGCTTTTGCAGCAACTGGACGATCGAACGAGCTAAGCGACTACGAACTCATTCCGAGCTACGTGCGAGGAGGAGGAGGAAGATGAGGAGGCGGAGGCGGAGGCGGAGGAGGAGGCGCAGGAGGAGGCGCAGGAGGAAGAGGAGGACAAGGGGGAGACGGAGGAGGAGGCGGAGGAGGAGGAGGAGGAGGAGGGGGAGGAAGAGGAGGAGGCGGAGGCGGTGGCGGAGGAGGAGGCGCAGGAGGAGGAGGAGCAGGGGGAGGAGGAAGAGGAGGAGGAGGAGGGGGAGGAGGAGGAAGAAGAAGACAACAAAGAAGAGGAAGAAGAAGAAGATGAATCAGAAGATGAATCGTAAGGAGAAGAATAAGGATACTACTTATAATACGACGAGTAAGAAGAATAAGAAAAGTACTACTTATAATACGACTTATAATACTGATAATACGAATAAGGAGAAGAATAAGAAACCAATAAGAATACTACTTATAATACGACGAGTAAGAAGAATACTAATAATATTGATACTAATAACATTAATCAGGATACTAATCATAATAAGAACAAGAATACTAAGACGAATCATACTAAGAATAAGATTTATAAGATGAGTATGAAAAAATACGAATAATATTACTAATACTAATACTAAAACTAATAATAATAATACCAAGAAGAAGAATCAGCAGAAGAGGAGGAGGAGTAGTAGTAGGAGGAGGAGGAGGCTGTTGCTGCTGCTGCTGCTGCTGCTTTTGTTTATCCTCTGCGCTCCACCAGCCACCCCTGCCGTCAACCTGGCCTGGCCGCCGCCGCCAAGCCAGCAGAGCCAGCGCCCACTGCCGCCTCGAAGCCACCTGGCGCCCTGGGGCAGCCGAAGCCGAGCCCGCCGCCGCGGCAGCTCGGGCAGCGCCCGGCGGAGGCCGCCCCGTCGGCGACTCGCAGCCAGAGCTAAAGTCGCCGAAGACGTCCGCCATGGGGCCCGGCTCCGTCACCGCAGCTGCTGCCGCCGCCGCCGCGGCCACGGCGGAAAGTGCCCGCGGGGCCGCTTCCGCCGCCGCAGACGCACGGCGCGCGTCGGAGGCTCCCCCAGCCACGCCCCAGCCACCCCCGCCGTCAACCTGGCCTGGCCGCCGCCGCCAAGCCAGCAGAGCCAGCGCCCACTGCCGCCTCGAAGCCACCTGGCGCCCTGGGGCAGCCGAAGCCGAGCCCGCCGCCGCGGCAGCTCGGGCAGCGCCCGGCGGAG